AAACTTCACTACAGTTAGAAATTTACAAAAAAATCAATATCAGGTAAGTAGGGGGTCTACCCAAAACCGAAAAACATGGCAAGGGCTCTACAACACAAAAAAGTTTGGGAACCTCTGGTTTACACAAACTCGACGTTCATATAAACCTATACTTTGTAGTCGGACCCTGGTATTATATACTGAGAATTCCAAAACCAATTTTTAAACTTTCAGACTATAGCAGGGAATTACAAGCAATTAAAGTATTATCAATGTTTGATTAACATACATCTTTCATATCCAAATTGTGGTATATTTACGATATTTATATGTTTTTGAGTTTGCTCTAATGTACTCAACATTCATATGAACGTATACTTTGTAATCGTGAAATTAATAAATGTATGAATTTATGATATATTTGATGAAATTAATAAATTAATGAGTTTCAGACTACAATAGGGAATTACAAGAAAATGGAATGGAATTATCAATGTTTGATTAACGTACATATCCAAATTGTGGTACATTTACGTTTTATTAGGTATTTATGTGTATTTTTCGTTTGCTCCAATATACTCAATAATCATAAGGTACACTTTGTACACGTGAATTTATGATTTGTTTGGTTTATACGTATTAAATTTTGCAGTAGGAGCCAGGTATCACATGTTGAAAAATCTTTAAACTTTTGGACTACATTAGGGAATTACACATATTCAGTTAGTGTTCCGTTAACGTACAATGTAATTTAATGGAATGGCTAAATTAATAAATGTATACATTTACAATTTTTTTGCTATATGCATGTCTCTTCGTTTGCACGAACGTATTTGACGTTCCTATTAACTAACACTTTGTAGTCGGACCCAGGTATGAAAATTCTAATCTTTAAATTTTCAGACTACAATACGGAAATGTAGGTGCATATACTATAAACCGACAGGAAGAAAATCTGTCTCCTGGAACCAAATATCATTTTTAATTATAGTTCTTAAATCAGATCTGACAACGTATTGAATTACATTGTACATTAATTGGATCAGCGGGTCGTAAATAGTAAAGTACGTATTATTATTAAGTGAACGCTTATTGTGCATTATAAAATGTAATATTATAAAATAATATTGTTTATTGAGTGATAATTTAAAAAACAAAATTATTTATGTATGACTTTAGACTTGAATTTTCTTATCTGTTTTACTTATTATTTATATCGCTGAAAAAAAATGATGCATATGAATTATCTATTTGTAAATGCATTAATAATAATAATAATAATAATGTTTATTGCATCAGTTGTACAAAAAACATGTACAAAAATAAAAAGAACAAAATAAATATATATAATTTAAAAAAAGTCAACTGATACAAATTGACCATAGAGAAAAATGCATTATTTTTATTTTATAATTATAATATTTCTTTTACTTTTGTTAGATTAAAAAAAAAAGAATTTGTTTTTTTTTAAATATCATTTTTCTGGGTATGTGTAAAATCATTTACTAATTACTGTTTTGTTATTTATCACTGGTGGATAAATATAGAGTTTATTTGAAAGAGGAAGCATATCAATTCTTCCGCTTTAAAATCTTCAAATAGTGGAGTATTACTAATAGGTTGAGGTAATCGCTGAAATGCAAGTTGAAGTTAAATCCAGGGAAATATGAAAAAAGGGTTTTTTGAATGTGAATGCAAAGTGGGAAATAATAGTAAGATGTTCCATTGGTTAATAGTTAGGGAGGTGTTATATACTATTTTATGTAGTTCAGGTAGGGCTTATATAGTCCTTCTAGGGGGAGGGGGATTGGATACAACTGTAATGTCTGGGGGGTCCTGGGGAGAAGAAGAGTTGCAGGTACGGAGGCGGCATGTGCAAGAGCGAGACGGAGGAGACGAGCGCGAGGACCAACGCTCGGCGTCGGTAAGTTCAGTTCAGTTGTGTTCGAAACGCCGAAGCCGTCGTCTGCTTGCGCCGCCCCAGTCGCGCCACCACAACGAACGCACGCGGTCCACCCCCAACATTTGGATCATCTTCGTCGGCGGCCGTCGCAGAGGACAGAACACGTCGACCGTGAGTATCTGCACATTCTCGCTCCGAAGCGATAAACTTTCCGAATTGTTTCCAATAGAAAAGAAGAATTAAAAAAAAAAATGATAAGAAAGAAAAGCAAATATGTGTGTGTATTAAGAGAGATAAATAGTTTGCGAGCGCGATAATTCCTTTTTGAATAGGGTCAAGTTGCGATAAGATTAATTGTAAAAATGTTGAACGTCTTCTTCCACTTCCACTTGTTTTCCATGCTGGAAGAACATTAACTTGCGTGGTTTCGCAGGGAGGATGCGAGGAGGCGCGCAATGCGACCAGCAACAACAACGGCCCAAGTGATCTTTGAACAAATGTATCAGCAATAGACTCAGATAATATACAAAGAAGTAATAACAATGTCTCTGGTGCAAACGTGACGAGCTTGACATGCAGGCTGCCAGTTCACTGTGAATGAATGGACGATGATGATGATGCTGTGATCTGATCATCTGGGAAGCGCGCAGCGGAAGAAAGTGTGCCGCGGTTATTAGTTGTTGTTTTTTTGTTTCTTCTCATCTCTCCGGTTTCGTTTCGTCCTTCGAGGATCAGGATGTTGGCGCGCAAAGGTCTACCAATTCTTCTCCTGTTCTTCATCGCCGCCGCCGCTGCTCATTCAGCGGAACAACAAAACACTGCCAAATACACAATCGAAGATCTCGTCTCCATTACCTTTCCGAAGAAGACGTCCAACGACATAGATTTGGACCCGTGCAAAGCTGGTGAGTTTGCTTACATTTAATTCGATCCAATTACCATGCAAACATACCCTTTAAATGGATGAACTCTCCAAATGCTAATGAGAATCCCCTCACCCCTCCGTCTATCACCAGCAGTGACATGGATAATCTGATGTGCGTTTGTAATTAAAACAGGATCTGGTTGTTACTGAACGCTCTTGGTCAATACAATAATACACTAATTTATTATTGTTACTGAATGGACCTATATACACGGACGATTTAGTATTATTGAATTGGTCCTCCAACGCATCGCACATCCCCTAATGACATTTTAATTTCCTCCTTCGTAAATATATGCCTGGCAATGTTTGTTTAGTCGTTGCGAACATCCCTGCATAAAAAAAATGGGCGAACAGGAAGAGTTTTCAACCATTAAATGCACGCACTTCGGTCCATTCCCCCTTTTTTGTGCAAATCGAATGAACTCCCCCCATTTAAACCACACTGCAGTCCTAATCATCTGAAAAAAAGCATTTAATCTAAGCATTCATCAAATTAGATGGTATGTGATGTTATTGACATATATATTTTGTAATAAAATCCAATATCAATTTCCTTTTTAACCATGATGTTTTTAAACATACTTCTATAAATATGAAATCCAATATCAACTTGATATTGGTTTTTTATTACAATTGAAATCATATTTTTAAGATAAAATCAAATATCCAAAATCATTCAATTTAATGAATATTAATGAATACTTAAGATGCTATAAATATGAAATAAATTTAGGCAACATTAATAATATATTATTACATCACGCTTGTAGGATTCAATTCATTTGTATCTGTCTCTAGTAAAAAATTATACATAACTTCCTTTGCTGTCAATATACTTTTATTTAACACTTTTTGTCTATAATAAATTACATATACTTATCTAATTGTTGCAATAAATACAATAATATTATTCAATTAAAAAACAGAACATTATTTCCGCCCGTACATACATTTATTTTCCTCATATGGGTATTAAGAATTTCATTATATTTAGATTAAATTAGTTGACAATAGAAAAGATTTATTTTAAGTTCAACAGAATTGAAACTAGGTAAAGATCAAAATTATAAAGCACGATTTACCTGTATGAATTATTTTTTATATATATTGTTTATAATGAAGAAATATATATTGAAATGAAAAATAAAATACTTTTGGCAGAAAGAGGGCGATGTCCTCTATAAAAATTTGCTTGCTTTAGAAAATTTATAACAATATATATATTTTATAGAAAATAACAAAAACATGTATTCCCGTTTATAAATAACAGAATTTCACACCAATTATACAATTCCTTTCAGTGTCTATCGAGTAGTTGATGATAGTTAAGAAATGTGTGTTGCAGACAAATAGAACCCTTTATCAACTTGGAGTAAACAAAAGACAAATTTAGTAGAGGAGACCTCATTTTGCAAGAGAAATGTGTCTCAACAATGTAGTAAAAAAAAACTACTAAAAATAATTTTATTAAAGTATTGGTATAAATAAAATATTGTTACCAAGGAGATGATAATCAAAATTGACGAAGTAACAAAATCTAATTGTTGTCATGGTGTTTAATTTTTATTGCTGATGAGAAAAAAACAGATTTGCAAATAAATAAAGATTATTTTATAATTGGCGCGCTAATACAATTTTGTTTTCAGTTTCATTTTGCGAACGATCATTAAACCATAATTTGACATTTAAAACGGTTATTTCTGTGTTATGGCCCATCATATTTTGAGCATCTTGGAAGTTGTTCAAATAGACAATTCTAAACTTTCGGAGATTACCGTAACTGCTGTCATGGTAACAGTTACTAAGTATGAACTTTTATAACTTTACGCAAATGAAAACGATTCTTCAGAATATACAGCAGCTCTCGTCACCCCAAGTATAAGGATCTATGTTTTGCCGTTTGTCAGTACAATGAATATTGTTATGTTGGAGACCGCGTCGGACGTAACGAGCAATTGCATCTCTGGTTTACGGCCTTAACAACCAAAAAAAAAATGTTCTCAGTTACGGACGCCGTAAAATATGATTCCCGGCAATAAAACGGAAGAACGAAACAAAGAACGAATACTTTCTCAGGGCATTCCCATACCTAGACGAAACAACCGTGCCTGAAACCTGAAGCCAAGCAATTGCTTATAGTTTGAGCATTTCTAAATATTATTACAAAATAAATTTGCAAAAACAAAACTGGAATGATGTAGATATTTAGTATTCTAGATTAAATCATAACTTTGATCACTATAATATTTTTGTGTTAGTGAAATATTCGTCTGGAAAAAAGTACAATATTTATAATTAATTAATCCTTTATTTGCAAAGTGAGAGAAGCTACAGTATAATAAAATAATAAATAATTGAACAATTATATAATTTTATATTGAATACAAAATGATAAAATAAATATGTACACAAATTCAAGCGTATTTATTATGAAAACAGAAATAATATTTTTATTAAAAAATTGAAATAAACAGCAATTTTTTATTAACAAAAACCCATCTACAAAAAACGCCTGATAATATCCAACATATCTCTGTGTTTTGCACTTGACACAGTAGATATGTTCAATAAAGATGACATTGTAATGTATAGAATTTGCATCTAAGATAGTCTTTTTTTATTATGTAAATTTCTTATTAAGTGCATATCATTTTTTAAATAATATCTAATTATTTTTTTGATATGCCAAAAATATTAAGTGAAATAACAAACTTAAGACGTATTTGCAATGTTTTGCTCCTTTTTAGTTAAATTGTAAAACAATTTCGGGTCGATAAAAATCACTGTAAAAGTAATTACTTTCACAAAAAGTAAACAAAATAAATATTGCACATTATTACAACAACAAAAATGATACAAACAGCAACGCACAATAAAAATCACGTTTTTTACTGTAATTATATATTGATTTGGCGGAAATACTGCGGTCAATGTCCCATTTTATATATGTATCTTCATATGTACAATAAATGATTATTATTTATATAATTGGCAATATTGTTATCAATATTAATAGATTTGTGTTGAATTACGGGAATATTATAATTTAATGAGAACGATATAAAAATTAACGCAGTTCCAAAATGAAATGGAAACAACAAATCAATACAAACTGTTGTGCATTTGTATCGGAGCAAAATTCGAAAGAAAAATAAAGTATCAAGTGAGCATCAATCATGTGTGTCGGAAAATGTCTGCTTTTGACGTTCGCATTACGTGAATTAAACGTGATAACGATTTTACCAAAATGGTTTTTGGATTTCGTTTTGTATTATTTCGATAAGTGATCATTTCCAGGAAATCGAATCTCTATTATTTGAAATTGACTCTTTGTTGGTAAGTTTTTCATTTTTTTTTTGTAAATTTCACGAACGAATATGAAACTGTGTTAATTAATTTTTTTTAAATAATATATGTTATATGTTATTTATAGTCATTGCAAGATAGATTTATGTGATATTTTTAAGTTCCTAGAAGTAATGTAATTCCATTACGAATCTTGTTCTAATTTAGAAGTTGATGTAGGAATAAAATTTAATTATGAATATCTGCACTAGTCAAGAATGTACTTAGTTTTAAGGTATGTTTCTCTAGAAATTATCCAACTTCAATTGGAGTATAATTTGATTAATCACAAGAGTGACTCATTGGTCGATAAGCACTGAAAAAGGTGGCAATATGTCCATAATTATAAGAAAAAATTAAAAATTCATATTATTTTTAATATAATAAGTATAGAAATACTAATAATAATAATAACATTTATTGTAACAAAGTACGTACTCAAACAAAATAACATAATATAACAAGAAAATAAATAACAAATTGATCTGTTATAAAGGACTATTGACCATAGGTCTTTCTGCTCTACAATTACTATTTTACATTTAAAATTTTAAGTTATAAATAAATAGTATTAGTTGAAAGAAATATTTAATTTAAAATATTTATATATTATTTACAATAAATTAGTTGTTCAATCAATTTTGGAAGTAAATTATAACAAAATTTCATTAGAAAATGAAAGAAATGAAAATATTAGAAATACAGTTTTTTATACATTAATTGTATGTAAATTTGTTAGAAAGATAAAATTTTGACTTATAAATATTATTTTTGTATCTCTTTTGTCATTATTCGCTGCTTTCGTTTTAATAGTTTTCATGTCATTTGTTTTCAATTAATTAACTGTCAATTTGGAAATGAAATTTAAATCGCAAGTGCGGATCAAACTTTTTGTATGGAAGCGAGTTTGAAAGGAAGCCCTTCAATGCAATTTCGGGTCCTGATTAATTAATAGATATATCCAACGGGTGAATGATTACCGCAGGACGGCTGCAATCCTTTAATCTCCTAAATAAATGTTACCTGAATGCAAAGAAGGATGATATAATATGATGCGAGACTGCAAAAAAAGAAAATCAAACTGAAGCGAACTGAGATGGAGGGAAAATCGAAATGATGAATGGATTTATTGCGCTCAATCTTAAAACAGGATCAATTAGTAAAGTAAACGCTCAGATTAATTATTTTGTGTCGGCTGAATGAAATTTACGAGAGGAGAGAAAAAAAGTTTGAATGCTATTCAGTACACTTCTATCTCCAAACGAGTTGCGTTTTTTTTTTGTTGCTCTCTAGCTTTAAAGCCGGCGCTTAAATTCAGATGGAATTAAAACCGGTGGAACTTTTTAATTATTTATGCACGCCGTATCAACTTTTCACATCAAAAGAACCCGAGCTACTACTTATGCCCCGACAGACATCCAAAACACATTAAACGCGCATTAAATCTTTATGGCCGAAGAATGCTCCACATATTATTAACAATATTAATTCCGCAGAAAAAGAGTAAGTGTTAAAAAAACATATATAAATAAAACGGTACGTGTAATAATAAGTTTAATATAGATTAAATAAATAGATGGAGTGTATATCATATTTTAATTCATTTAATCTTCACCTGTCACTAGTAGTTTT